CCAAATAATAAATAAGACAATAAAGCAACAATAAAAGGAACACCAGAATTTACGAGGTTCGGCCAATTTTGCCTACTTCCTCGGATACAACCAATATTTTATTCCACTCCAAAAATACAAGTGAAATAATACTAAAGAGAGAAGATACAAATGCCTTAAGAAGATAAGAAGGCAAATGAACGGTGTGTTTAAATCCTAAACATTAGGCCTTCTTTTATAGGGAGAAATTCTTCCCAAATTAAGTCTCCCACCGATGTGGGAGTTTGCCATTTTCAACAATTTCAAGTGACTGATTTTATTTTTTTCTATGACTTCACTAATTTAGGTTAGAAAATTAAATATAGTTTTGTCTATGTAATAATGATATTGATATTTGGTAAATGTTGTATACTGAAAATCTTTACATGACTGACCAGACATAACTTTCTAAATTTTCGATACTATATTGAAATAGTCGTAGATAATTTTTATATTGTAACATGCAATATCTTTTTTGCTTCTTCTCTTGGACTCTATACTGGCAGTGCTGGTTGAGTTTATAGCTAAAGAATAATGATATAAATGTAGGACTTGCTGATGGCTTCTATGGATACTTCATCAACAACGGTTGAATGGATTTTTTCAGAACTCTCAAGGAACCCCGATGTAATGAAATAACTCCGGAATGAGTTGGAACAAGTTGTTGGTAAAAACAGAATGGTAGAAGAATCAGATTTAGAAAATTTTGAGTACTTAGATATGGTTATAAAAGAAGGTTTTAGGCTCCATCCAGTAGTAACACTATTAATTCCTCACGAGTCCATTGAAGATTGCACGGTTGATGGTTTTCATATACGTAAAGGATCTCGATTTTTGGTCAATGTTTGGGCAATTGGAAGAGATCCAGATGTTTGGCCTGAGCCAGAAAAGTTCGAACTAGAGAGATTTTTGGGACCCAACATTGATGTCAAAGGGCACAGTTTTCAACTTTTACCATTTGGCTTTGGTAGAAAAAGTTTCCCTAGTTTGCAGCTTGGCCTCACTATTGTCCGATTGTTGGTAGCACAATTGGTTCACTGCTTTGATTGGGAGTTACCAAATAATATGTTGTCAAAAGATCTTGACATGAATGAGAAATTTGGTTAGTTACTACGAGAGTTCAACATATAATGACCATTCCAACATATCGTTTGCATGTATAGTAGATTAAAATCTCAATAATATGTAGTTCAAGATTAGTTGCACTTTCTTAATTTGGCCTGAATAATTATACGAGGGAAAGGCAAAAAAGAGGGGGATTTTGTCTTATGTTCATGATTTTAGATGTATTCTTCTAAATATAGAACCAAACGTTTTTGAAAAATTACCATTAAACGTTAATTATAACTTGTAAATAAAGCAAGACATAACAACGTCACAAGTACTTTGGTTCCTATTTTGATGGATCAACATATTTTGTGTTTTCTTTTTATTTTTATCTTCGATCAATTTTTTAATTAAATGGGAACTTGGTCAGTAGCAGGCCAGAATTAATGGTAACGTTATTAATAAGGGATATGTATCCTTGTTATTTGATTCCTTTTAATGGACATGTGTTATATATATATATATATACATATATATACGCTCTGCGCACTATTCCTACTAGTTTACTATGGAACCAATTGTCAAGAATAGTTTTCTCTAGAAATATAAATGTTATGTTATCGGATGGCCAACTGTACACCTTCACTAATATCAGAAGCTATATATGTCTAATAAAACAATAAAAGAAACCTCATGTCTAAGCATCATAGGAAATGCAATCAAAATTAGCAAGACTCCTTAGACGCCCCATTTCCTCTCTTTTTATAGAAAATATTATTATATTATACTGCATTAAAACTATAAATTATTACACAGCTTGGTCTTTCTGGATATATAATCTCTTTACGTTAATTAACATAATGAGATGTGTTTGCCAATACCTCATGCAACATTAATTAACATGCAAGCGTGAATCAAGTGATAGTAGTAAGTGTTACCATTGTTAGACATGAAATGCTAAACTTAAAATTGGACCAATCTCCCATCTACGCAATTTAAAAGAAAATAGTTCAATTATTTTATTCACTAGGAAATTCGTCCGCGATGTGCGGGGTTTTTAAAAAGTAAGTGAATTTACGGAATGACTATTATTTTTGTGAATTTAGTCTAAACAGACGAGATGGAAAGTTTCATATATATGCATACAAAAGACTTGAATTCTATGAATTGATTAAATAACAAATAGTATTGATTTTTCTTTAGAATTAGAGCAGTTCACATTGATATTAGACAATCCATATTTTAACATATAATCTTAGAAGTAATTAATTCTCGCTATATAATTTATACTTAATATATTTGTATGTATATTAAAACTTGATTTGTTTCCATTTAGATTAAATTTCTTGTTTTTTCTAAAAAAATTCAAAAATAAACTAAATCACCATGAATAAACATGAAATAGCAAGAAAAAATGTACCTTCTCTTTCACTCAAAAATTACTAAAATGTCTTTATCCATAATGTGGAATAAATTCCACCATTAAAAATTACTACTCCGCTTTGTTACCTGATGATGGAAATCACCATAATATACAAAAGGAAATGTAAATCTTATCCAATTTAAAACACCCACAAAATTATACACAAAAAAGAAGTACAATTTGCAAAAGATTAGTTACCAATTTGTTTTGATATTTGTTCAAATACAAGACACAAAATATTCAAGAAATATTATAATACAAAAGTAGAAGTATCTTGATTAGATTTTATATCCAGGCACATATAGTGATTGCAATGCTAAAAGAAAAAAAAAGTTGTCGTTATATTGAGACGATGACCTTTTATTGACATATTGCACTCCATGGCAGAAGAAGATCACAACTTTTGATCGATAATCTGTAAGAATAAATACATGTGAACAGTTGTATACATTCTTGTTAAACAACCACAAATATTAGGATATAGTATTATAAGGTGAATAGACAAAGACCTGAAAACTCAACAAATTAAAATTTATAAAAAAAGCATTACATAAAGTTAATAACAAAAGTCACAATGAACTTTTTGTTTACCTCTTCGTATCGAACACCTCCGCATTAGCATAGACGAAGATCTGGGAATATTGAAGAGACACAAAATTTTAAAAAGGAAGAACATACAAAGGACAAAACCCATCAAAAACATAACAACTATGGTGTAACAGAAATTGTAATAAAGAAATAGGGGAAAACAAACGGTCAGCATTAATATCTCTTTAATAGACATTGTAACCTTTAATAAGTTGGATTGAATGAAGTAATAAAAGAAAAGAAAAAAATTCAAAAAGGAGAAAAAAGATAGGTGTGTTTCTTGGCTAAAGAGATATGCCACATCATCTTTTCTAATCCATCTTTTATATATATATATATATATATATATAAATTTTATATGTACTAATCAAAATATTAAAATGTAGGTAATATAATATAAAACTTAAAATCCAAAAGCATACACATTAAAATACAAAATATACACATACGTTAAATTTGATGTTTCCTCTAGCCATAATTTTCCAATGTACGTTATTACTCTAAATCAGAACAGTGGGAAAGAAAAACAATTGAACTTGTAGTAGTTTTTCAATACCCTCGTTGTTTTTTAATTAGACCCTGATCCTTCTAGTCAAACGATTGGTTGTCTATGATTAACAAACTCAGTATGAAACTTTTATAATACTATCACCAAATTAAAAATCATCTTGTAAGATATTATTCGATTTAAACATATAGCAAAAGGTTAATTTAGTGACATGTGGACTAAATTTTAGCTAAACCTTACGATATCTAATGAGATTAGGTAGAAATAGTAGACTTGATAGCTAATTATTTTCTTTAATCACATCCCTAACTAGCACGTGAATCTGATCGATTCTGTTGCATAGCCGCATTAATTAATTACAATTTTAATTTATTTCAGTACTTTAGAGGCTGATCCATTAATTGCATGTGGAGCTGGTGCAAAATATTGCCAAGCTTTTTCGAAAGTAAACACAATTTTTCTTTAACAACTTGTTTGAATGGTTGTTACCTATTTTATTGTATCGTATTGTTACTTTAGATATGATATTTGTTTTTTATTGTTACTTAAATTTTATTATATCGTATCATTAAATCCGTCGTTACGTAACAACGAAATGTGTAACTTTATGTAACGACCGATTTGGTGTGGTCACGTCGTTACCTTGTCTTTTACTTTATTTCATCATTTACCCTAACTTTTTAAATAGTAATTTTACCCAGTATCATAATTTTTCTTCATAATATTGCAAGTTTATACTTCTCAACAGTTTCCCATTATCAAAGAAGTCCTTAACAGCTTGCTTGACTTCACTTCCAACAAGTTTCAAGTACACCTTAAAAAATTCTGCAGGGACGCCATCCACTCCTGGAGCTTTGTCATTAGGTAACTCTTTAACTGCATGTTCTATATCTTGTTCTGTTATTGGTCTGATCAGTTCCTTCTGTTGATCTTTTGTTAGATAAGGTCCATTCCTTGTTGTTTCCAGATCAATACAAAGCTGTTCTTTAGCACACTCTCCTAATAAGGATTGGAAGAAGCTTGTGAACTCTTGTTCTATCATTTTTGGTTCTGTAATCCTGACCCCTTGATCATTGTATATTGAACCAGTTCTATTTCTTGTTTGACTTGCCTTTAGCTGTGCATGAAAGAATTTGATATTTTGATCTCTTTCTTTTATCCAAATTGCTCTAGATCTTTGTCTTAGCATCTGCTCATTAACTTCTTCCTATTTTACTATCTGGCTTATCAGTTCTCTTTCTTCTGAAATCAACTCAGTATTGAATGGATCTTTATCAAGGTTCTCCTGAGTGTTCTTCAACTGTTTTCTTAGATTGTCCAGCTTCTTGTCTAAGGATGACATCTCTTTATTAAGCTTCATCACTCTATCCTTTAATCTCATCAGTTTCATCCACACACATTTCATTTTATATCCTTCTATTTGCTGCCCCCATGCTTCTTCCACAACTTGCTCAAACTCCTTATTATGCAATAACTCATTGTATAGTCTAAATGGTTTAGGCAAATAGGACTTAACTACCAATGTGTTAATGATAATAGGAGAATGATCAGAAACACCTGGCTTTTCAAAAATAGCTTCAACAGTACAATATTTTGTCAGTTGTTGCTCCCAAACGCACACACAAGTATACGTGGTTGACAAGTAATATAGGATTGTAAGTCCAGATATCGTACCCACAGGGACTTGTGATTAACTATCAACTAAATTAAACCAAACAATTAATCTATTCAAGCGAATCTTAACGTATGAATATTTAGCTAAAACTAATCTAACGTAACAAACTAAGAGATTAAAGAAAATAAGTTGGAAAATTATAAAGACGAATTCAATGTGAGTGAATATTCTAGAGCCATGGGTTAGCTAAAAATCTCGTTGAGTTTTTCACTTAACTCGTCTAATTAATTTATCTGGTTTATTGATTGACGGGGTTAATATTGCTCGTAGCCTTCTCCCGAAGTAAAACTCGCCTATTCAAGCTAACCTAACGCCTATATTCCTATGGAATTAGGATTAACAAGAACACATTAATGATTCCCGTATAGTAAACAAGCAAGACGATTAGGTATATTCCTATTCTAACCGCAAATCCGCTCCCCCTCAGAGTTAAGGTCTTGCTATACTCAATCTTATATGCAATCTAGAATTCCCTCTCCCGAGTTCAATCCTAGATTCGTAGATAGTATTTAATTGGTGATCAAACAATCAAATAATTAAGCGCAAGATTGAATAAATAAACCAATATGATAAATAATAAGAACAATTCAAGCTTCAAACTACAACGTTCATGTAGCACCCAAAACTCTAGAACTAATAAACTGTGAAATTAAAGGAAGAGAAGAGAAGAAAAACTAGTTAGAAGCCTCCTCCAAGCGTGATGTGTGTTCTTCCACGTGAATTACCCTCTAAAGTGTGTTAGATCCCTCCAAAGTGGCGTCTCCCCCTCCAAAAATAGGTTTAGTCTTGCTTTTATACGTGTTGGGTAGGTCTAGGGCCGAAATAACCTTGCCCCGGACGAAATTGGACAAAATCACGTCACCTGCGCCCTGGGTAGCACCAGGCGCCCACTAGGGCGCTGCCTCAAACTTCCATTCTGCCTCCAGCACCACAGGTGGCGCCAGGCGCTGTCTGTGGCGCCCAAATGCTCAATTCGTCCAGTTTTGTTCGTTTTGGCTCAAATCTTGCGCGTTTCGCCCCCAATTGCTCCCGAATCATTCCTACACATAAAATACTTCAAATTAATATAAACCATAGCATTTAACATTCCAAATTCACAAAACAAAAGTAAAATATGAGGCGATATACATAGAAATATATATGCTTTAAGCTAAACATCAACACCCCACACTTAGACTCTTGCTCGTCCTCGAGCAATGAGACTATATAATAAACCCCCAACTACGTACAAGTATCTAGAGGAGAACCTTAAATTTTAACCACACACTATACCCTTGACTATGATCAATATCGGCACACAAGCATGGACACACAAAATTTCACATTCTTCCCGTTTACGCATGCCCAAATATAACCCTTCAATTTAATCAATTTCAATAACCTATTTGTCACCACCCAACCTCAAAAGCCGACTTGTAACCACTAAGCACCCTCAATTCATGTACTTACCCAACATGAAAGTTTACAACATTACCAATCATTCATGAGATCATGTGCCCTTACCAACAAACAAAAGAGTGAATATAGTAGTCCACACATTCAAATACTTTTGAATATAGATTAAGGACATCACACAATTGAACAAAATTCGCTCACTCTCACAAAGAGTTCATATGCATCCCGTGGTCATACCATAAGCCTGCCCGTAGTGTATATCTCTACTAATTTAAGCTAGCAAAATCTAGGATTAAGACTTTAAGGTTGTAATGTAGGCTAAGGAATGGGTATGGTACATTTAGAAATAGTGGCTAACCCTCCTAAGCACTTTAATGCACTACATTCATGATTCAAGCACATATTCTTCTCAATCAATTCACTTGCCATATACAACATAGCTCTCTTTTCAATGAAGCACTTCTATATTTCCACTAGCACAAATCATTAAGAATTGGAGGTGTGTATTTTCTCCATTATTTGAACT